AGTCGGAAAAAGAGGCTACTCCGCCGACATGACGTTGACAATGATAGGCAAATGTTCATGATGATGTTGAAAGATTGAAGTCTGCACAACCATAACCATTTAGTAGTTGCGTTTGCTCACAATCTGATTAAAATACAGATCTGACAAGTTATAGTGGGAGTTCACGTTAGGGGTCAAGCGAGCGGCTTTTGACCCTGTGACGTCAGACATGCATTAATCAATCAGCGTTGACGTTTCCAGTGTTTTACCCACAGTTCCATGCACCAAAAGGCCAAAAGCTCGCCGTAACAGACTGTTTCATTCGCTAATCCCACACATCAGCCAGAACGCGTCAATGATAACAACTCTTCCCGGGGCCCTTATTCACGAAAACTTAAACTAAGTTACAACCGAAATTTTAAGAGATACTGCAACTTCATTGGATATATGCAAATTGATTTTACTGGTCAGCCAATCGAATTTCAGTATTTCTTAAAATTTCGATTGTATCTTAGTTTAAGTTTTCGTGAATAAGGGCCCAGATCGTAAAGACAAGTAAAACAAAATTTTGGACTACAAAAACGAAACGAAATAGGATCTGTGTTTTAATCAGATTGGTTTGCTCATGACCGGATATCGAGTTAAGGTGGATCTTTATAAATAGTTTTCCCGTCTCACTGTCGTCGTGCTAAGAGATAAAACATGTTTGAATTACTTTCAGGAGTTCCGACATGTTTTCCGTAATGTGGTGCTTTGCCCTTTCTTTCTATTTTAGTTACGATGTTAAGAATGTACCACAATAGTTCGTTGAGGTAACGCGCCATATGGTAGTAGCAGAAGTGAGTGCCTTTACTGCTGAACTGCTATTTTGGTGCGCTCGAGGCAGGTTTTATCTATTTTCAGGGGATAGATGAGTTGGATCTATTTGATAAGGCCAACTTCAAGTTTGGTCAAAGGTCACGAGATGTAAATAGGGCTAGCGCTAATCCCAATCCTAGCCTTAACACTGTTCGATCCCTGCATTGGCCAAGAAAGTTCATCGTGATTTTCCGACGTGGCTTCCCCTTGTCAGTGGTGCACGTAAAAGATCCCTTGGCAGTTGGAATTCGATATAAGAGTAGGCCGTAGTGCCGCTGTCCGGGCAAAATTTCCCTCATAGCACACTGTATGGTGTATGCCCGTCTTCATTAGCCCAGGTTAGGAGCAGAAAAGTAGGACGTTAAACTCCATTTCATTTCATTTCAATATCATCCAAAGTCTTCTACATTGAAAACTCGAATTATTTGTCAATTTAAATCAACATTGATGTTGTGATCTTACGGGAAAAGATGGGCTTCTGATAAAAAAAATTTACCATTGGTACACGAATCGTGTACCATAATCCGTCTCGGCGCCATTTGTAACAAGGGACTCGAAGAACGAGGCTAGACATATTCCACGAGTCATTCTTATTTGGAGAGCATGCGCAATAAATACTATCGGTGTAGAGTGGAATAACCAGACGCTAGAGACTGCCATTCGATTGAGACTTCTGGCGTACTTCGCCGAACATAATTGGTTTGAAATTAGAGTAAAAACGGAAACGATTGAACGTGAATCAGTTTATATACATTCATGTTATGTTATTAGATGCATAGATAGCCGAATGGTTATCGTGTGCGCGTTGTATCATAAGGTCTGTCATTGAGTCAACTGGCGTCGTTTCGATTCCCCGGTTGTACGTGACAAGGAGTAGTCCCGATATGACCTAGTTTGTGTCGAGTGGACGTTAAACCCCATTTCTATTTCTCATTTCATATTATTTCTGTCTTCTTTAGCCCGACTGGGACATGAAGTAGGAGAATAAAACCCATTACATTTTATTTTATTCAAAGCTCTGATGGACTAATAATAGCAGGAAATACACCTGGGGAAAACATAGATAAATACACAGCTTGAGGTTCACCAGGTAGATTGAACAAATAAATCATGGCGTTTTCTATAAATAAACAATGACGTATCCTACAAATAACAATGACGTATTCTACAAATAACAATGACGAATTCTACAAACAAATATACCACGACCTTATTATTTTCAGTGTACGATTTTCACAACCAAATATGAAGAACTAAAACCGGCAAACAATATTAAATGTAGAACGTTTTACCAGAAAAATTCCAGTACTATGGTGTTTGGTGGTTATAGGACTGACTAGGCCTACATGTTTCGCTCTCTGAAACTCAATTAAACTTCAGAATTTTAAAAAACTTAGATCAGATAGTGGCGTACCTGAAATCGACGCACGATACTGGATCCTCCCGATCTGAGAAATATCTTTGATTTTTTCCGTGTTTATACCCACAATCTAACCCTAACCCTTCAGAATAGTTTTAGCCAGAATCCACCGTTGTTACAGCTTCAATTTGTACGTTTGACATGTAATTTATAAACCTAACCCGAACCCTAACCCTAGAGAAAGATATTTTTCAGATCGTACAAAGATATAGTATTATCGACCCTCGTATTTTTGGAGCGCCCCCTTCCACACATACGAACACGCAAGAAAAACATAATACAGGTTATCCGTAATACAAACAGACGTGCACGTAAAAGAATCCTTGGCAGAGTAGACGAGAGCGCCATGAACCGGGAAAAGCCCCATCCCCTCGCATGGCACATGACACAATTTGTTGTGATGCACGTAAAAGAACCTTTGGCAGAGTAGACAAAACACGCCACTGTCCGGGCAAAATTGTCCCTCTCGCATTACACAGCAACCATAGAAATTAAATTTTCCATATGACGGCATTTGTTTTATATTGGCGCAACAGTGAACGGTAACCTCATTCGAGTCATTTAGGCTACATGTAGATGGTTGTTTTCATCATTTAAATGGTTGTTTTCGTCATTTATATTGTGTTTTTCGTCATTTATATGGTTGTTTTCGTCATTTATATGGTTGTTTTCATCATTGATATGGTTGTTGTTATCATTTCATACGAAGGGGAGTTGGTTTCCTCGCTCTACTAAAGACGCCTACTGAAATAAAATTGAACCATATGTTAGTCCCGAAATGACCTAGTTTGTATCGCGTGGACGTTGAACCCCATGGGGGTCACGGTGGTTAAGTGGGTAAGATGCTGGCTCGCTAGCCTGGAGGTCCGATGTTCGATCCCTGCATTGGCCGAGAAAGAAAGTTCATCCGGATGATACGAAAAACCGAGGTACCGTGTACACATTGGCGTGCACGTAAAAGATCCCTTGACAGTTGGAATTCGATATAAGAGTAGGCCGTAGTGCCGCTGTCCGGGCAAAATTTCCCTCATAGCACACTGTATGGCGTATGCCCGTCTTCATTAGCCCACTTTGAAGCAAAACAGTTGGACGTTAAACCCCATTTCATTTCATTTACGTTGAACCCCATATCTCTCTCTAGGAAAGGAAAGCTCTCTCTCTCTCTCTCTCTCACTCTCTCTCTCTCTCTCTCTTTTCGTGTAGGAGTTTCAGAAATGTATTTGCTTACTACCAGCTGTGCGTCTTCATTTACAGATATGCTGCAATTTACTACCGACATACTTCACTAGATTAAAAACGAATTAACTGGATCCCTTTACCATAAATAAAATAACATATGTAGTCTTCGGTATAATTATTTATCTATTATTTAATTCAATTATAATTAAAACTCACCCAGGGGTCGTCTAGTAGGAATGTACGTTTATTCGTGCGATGTTGTCTAAAACTAGAGAGAGAGAGAGAGAGAGTGAGAGAGAGAGAGAATGAGAGAGAGAGAAATGGGGTTTAACGTCCACTCGACACAAACTAGGTGCGTAGGGGTCTCTAGCAGTGGGAAGAAACCGGAGGACCCGGAGGAAACCCACGAGGTTGGACAGGCAACCCTACTCCTTGTCACGTACAACCGGGGATTCGAAACCACACAAGTTGACTCAATGACAGGCTTTATGATACAGCGCGCACTTGCTAACCATTCAGCCCCCCCCCCCCTGTAAAAGAACACTCGACAGTTGAAATTCGATGAAATGCACACACATCCTATTTCGTTTCATTTTTATAGTTCAAAATTTTGTTTTACTTGTCTTTACTACACTAGGATCGGGAAGAGTTGTTATATAACCCGCATTCTGGTTGATGTAAAGGATTAGCTAATGAAACGGTCTATTATCGCGAGTTCTTGACGTGCGGTGCGCGGAACTGTGGGTATCCCACTAGAAACATCAATGCTGATTTTAAACAAGTATTATACAAGAGCTAAATCAGCATATTGTAAGTCTTTATTTAGGCTTCGGATGTTATAGAAATTATTAATTAGACCTTTATTTACATGACAAGCTCGTAAACAACTCTGTAGACCCTCGGACGGCTTGGATACAGCTCGGATTTAAACAGTGGTCCATTTAAAATTGAATCAGTAAATGGCTGACCAAGCTAACGTTTACCGTTACTCGGTGACGTCGCTACCGGAAACTGGTGATGAAAGGCCTGTCATGCGAGAGTACTATTGCTATTGAGAACGTAACTTGATAATCAAGAATATGTGGGTGGAGTTATCGTCTGTCAATCAAACGATCGACCATTCTCGTAGTCGTTGTAGACGCAGTTTATGCCTATTTGTAGTCAAAACTTCCAACACTGAAAACTCCGTTCAGAATAAAGTAATTTGACTGAAATTTTCAATATTTTCTTTTTTTATCATCTATTTTTGAATTATTATAGCAAGAATGGCCAACTCTTTATTAAACTCTTAACTAATGTATCTTTAACTTAAATATACTCTTCATATAACTGCAATATAGCCCTTTATAAACAGTGATTGAAAGTTGAGTAAGTTCTTGAGCTTGTTTTGGGGCTGACGCTGTATTAGACGACGATTGACATGAAATATGCCATGTATGTTCTTCGGACAACTGCGCTTCGATTGTCGTACTTCGATGATCCAAGATGGCTGTGAGGACGTAATGCTTGGTTAGTGCTTGTTTTAATAAAATGTGTTTATTTAAATTTATTGTGTATTTTTCAGGTGCTAATACAGGATTAGGACGAGCAACAGCTACAGAGTTAGCTAAAAGAGGCGGGAGAGTTATCTTAGCTTGTCGTGATAAGGTCAAAGGGGAAGCCGTCGCACGTACCATCAGAAGAAAGGTGAACAATCAGAATGTTATAGCTATGAAATGTGATCTTGGGAATTTGAGAGCCATCAAGGATTTTGCTACCGAACTCTGTGAAAATGAGAGAGAAGTCAACGTGCTGATTAACAATGCAGGTAATTGACGATTATAACTTTAACTTTTTCAGCCATTATTCGACATGGTGTCCCCTTGTCAGTGGTGCAGGGCCAAGGACCTGAAACAAGAACACAGTTTACTTGATCGGTTGATACGATTATGCGAGGTCCCGTGTGCATATACTGGCTTATACATAAGAGAGAGAGAGAGAGAGAGAGAGAGAGAGAGAGAGAAATGGGGTTTGACGTCCACTCGACACAAACTAGGTCATTTCGGGACTAACACACGGTTCAATTTTATTTCAATAATTCGCTTGCGCGTAGGGGTCTTTAGCAGTGGGAGGAAACCAGAGGACACGAAGAAAACCCACGTGGTTGGACAGGCAACCCTATTCCTTGTCACGTACAACCGGGGAATCGAAACAACGCCAGTTGACTCAATGACAGGCCTTATGATACAGCGCGCACGTGCTAACCACTCGCCCCCCCCCCCCTACATAAAAGAACCCTTGGCTTTTGGAATCCAAAATAAGATAACAGAAGATCGGCATAATGGTAAGACCTATATTAAGAACATGAAATAGACATAATTCGGGAGGAGTTCTATTCCAAGTTTGACTTACTGTCAGTAAACTTCTTGTTATATAGCGTCTGACAAATAGAGAAAATGGGTAAGAGTCATAAGTATTTCCCTTGAAGTCATTATCAGGTCATGGTATGATGAACTGACCTCTGCATTCCCCTTGAATTCACCTCCGAGTGTTGTACACAGATCATACTCAAAGTCATTAAAAACGCAATGCCAAATTCAAAGTTTATTTACTGCAACAACTTTTAACAAATGTACATAACAATTGACAAAATCGAGATAACAAGCATCTGTGGATACTTTCATGAAAGAACTACAAATGCACAAAACCGAAACGTCAGAGCTCTTACACATGCCTGAAGTCGCCTTGACATGGATTGGCATAGATGTCTCACTACACGCTGTGGGATTGTTTGCCAATGATTTTGGAGTGTGTGCCAATTCTGCAACAGTTCGTGGTGGCACGGCTTGAGTTCGAACCCCTCGCCCAAGTTCATCCCAAAGGTGTTCGATCGGGTTACGAGCAAAGCGTTCATGTCAACGTCGGTAGATACGGTGACGTCCATCAGGAAAACTGAGGTTGAATCGGGATTCATCCGAGAAGATGACATTTCGCCATGGTGTGTTGTGCAGATACCCCTGATTTGCGGCCCATTGCTGTCTGGTAAGTTGGTGATAATGCAAAAGGATTTGACCTTGGTTCGGTCGGCGGCAGCGTAACCCAAGAGCAGCCTAGCACCTTCGGACTGTTTGAGGGCTGATTTGACGTTGCCGTGTTCCAGCAGTTCCCCTGACAGTAGCAGTAGCTGACTGGAACCTGTTGCGCAGATGCTGTAGTCGGATGTGGCGATCCTGAGCAGCGGTTGTTACAGGCGGCGCTCCAGGTCGGGGTCGATCGGCAACTCTTTTAGTGGCGTGGAAGCGTTGTCTGAGGCGAGCAATGGTCGATAGGTGGACATTAAAGTGTCTGGGGGCGGCTACCTGTCAAGCCCCCTTATCCAGCATGCCAATAGCTATGTTCCTGTTTTCTTGTGTAAGGCGTGGCATTTTTCCGAAGTGATAAATGTTGAAATTTTGGTCTGTATTTAAAGGGCTAGAGTGTAGGGAAGGCACGTGCAAAACGTGTGACATGGGACTGCTTAAAATCGTGAAAAAAGACAAGTATTGCGTTTGCACGAACAAAGTTCATTACCGAGAACTGATATTGGGTTCAAACCCAGAACTCCACAAAAAGAGACCTAACACAAGTTTCACCTATGTGACATAAGATAGGAAATCCCAAGAAAACGTTTACCAGAAATATTTCACGAATTAGGCATTGGGTTTTTTATGACTTTGGGTATATGTAGCTTTTAAATGAGATTAATTACATGTTTAATTAGAACGTGACTAACAGAAGTATATACAGAAATGATAATGACATGAAATGGGGTTTAACTTCCTACAGTGTGCTGTGAGGGAAATTTTGCCCGAACAGCGGCACTACGGCCTACTCTTATATCGAATTCCAACTGTCAAGGGATGAAATGGGGTTTAACGTCCTACTGTTCTGCTCCTAAACTGGGCAGTGAAGACGGGCATATGCCATACTGTGTGCTATGAGGGAAATTTTGCCCGATCAATGGCGCTACGGCCTACTCTTATATCAAATTCCAACTACCAAGGGATATTTTACGTGCACGCCTATGTGTACACGGGACCTCGGTTTTCGTCCCATCCGAACGACTAGACAGCTGTCCTTTTCAGGCCCTCCGTCCTGCACCACTGACAAGGGGGAACCACGTCGGGCGTATGCCCTTCTTCATTAGCCCAGTTCGGAGCAGAACAATAGGACGTTAAACCCCATTTCATTTAATTTCATTTCCACCCCACCCCACCCCTAGCAAGCCAGCATCTAACACACTTAGTTATTATCTGATGATTGGTAGTTTCGAATCCCCGGTTGTACGTGGCAAGGAGTAGGGTCGCCTGTCCAACCTCGTGGGTCTTCTCCGGGTCCTCCGGTTTCCTCCCACTGCTAAAGACCCCTACGCGCAAGCGAATTATGGAAATAAAATTGAACCATATGTTAGTCCCGAAATGACCTAGTTTGTGTCGAGTGGACGTTAAACCCCATTCCCCATTTGACAGCCGGGGAATGTCTGCTGTTCATAGAGAAGTTTCACACAATCGGAAAGAGAAACTTCAAGGACACTGAGAGACTGTTTTATTATTTATTCGTGACATACGCATTTCCGGTTAAAAATTATTCTTAGATTAGGTCGTGAAAGCGTGGAATATTTTGGAGTCTAGGCATTCGAGGAATGTGGTCGGGTACAATGACGTAGTGATGATGGGATGTAAACGAGAGAGGAACTGATGGCGAGATAAAAACCGAGTGGCAATCAAATAAAATTCTGCCAGATGTTAGGAAATATAAAATAAAAGTTTAAAGAATAGAGTTAACAGCTAAAGAAACGCAAAGTTTGTAAATATAAAACTTAGCCTTTTCATCGGGAAAGGGACACATAATTAGAAAATACTGGATTTCTTGGCATGAACAGGGGCCACGGTGGATCATAATTAGTATAGATCTGGATCATTAAAGATGCATTATGTTAGAGCTAAACCTGCCTATTTTGGCTTCACATCTTGTAAGTGTAATTTAATGGTCGAGTGCGAGACATTAAGTAATATATTGATATCACACGAGTGCTATATCTATATATTACACAATGTCTTGCACGAGACCATTAAACGACTTAAAATACAGACACTATCCAGCGCGTGCATTTCTATGAAATACATTACGCGGGTCCAATATTTGAACTAGTATAAATAATGTACGCTTGGCACATTGCCCGTACCAGTATTTGAAAAAATGGTACGCCAACATCAAAGGAGGACGTTAAATTTGTATTTTAAAAAAAGTATTATTCACATTAATGATCCACATGCCCTTAATCTACTCTAGATGACATCGGATCCTCGAGATTTTCAACGGATATTAGAAAATGGATAATCGAGACTTTGTTTACTATCGTAACTCCGCTATTCTCCAAACAACCCTAACGTCGCTCAGAAAAAAGTAGCCTAATTTGACTGATATTTTCAAGATATTCAAGATATTTAACTATTATAGCAAGACCTATCAGCTCTTTATATAAATATTACATAACGCATCTTTAAAGCGATAATTCATATTTTTAAGTTATATTTTTAAAATGTATTAAAATAAAGCCTTAAAGTAGATGGTATCTATAAACAGTCAAATCTTGTTAAAGAATACTCCTATTAATCCTATAATTCACTATTGTCAGTTGAGAAATTGGCAAAAATATCATTTTCAACTTCAAATTCAAACGTTTGAAGATAACTATTCCATGGAGGGAATAGAAAAACAAAGGAGGTAATTGTGTTATTATTTCCTCGGTGAATGATTTTTAAGTGTGAGAATGATACCTATGGTCGCATAATAGTGAGTTGATAACCTATTGAGCAAAAGACATAGAAATAATTATGTTTTGACTTTCTTAAAAAATATGAAATTCTCGCTTTAATCAGGAGGTCCCTGGTTTGCAGGGGCGTGGTGAGCCAGGATTTTGCATGAGAAACAAGATTCCGCCCGGCCCCCCAAAAAAACAATATTTAAATATGTGTACGGGGAAGGGGGGGGGGGGGGGTGGCAGTCCCTCCCAGTGCCACCGGGTAATACTGAGCTGTGTGGAACATGCTAGAGTCGATTTGTAGCATATCTGGCCCACGGTATATGTTTGACACTGGTTGAGCATTACGATTAGGAAACCGCATGATTGTTTTTGCCATTTGCGAGGGGTCCCAAAAACTCTAAACCATAACGCAAAGCTCGCCATTGCGTCCCTCTAACTTACCCCCTGTCCCCAGATTAGTGAGTACTGAAACTACGTGTCCAAAACCCCCATGTCCTGACAAACCATCACAGTAGTAGTATTTCTCTGTATATAAATAGATCTATGAGTTATCTGTAGACAATCTACTAACAAAATAACAGGAAGCCTTTCTACTTTATCAAAACTATCATCCAAAAACAGTCAGTCGTCGGAATAATGGCGCTGTTTGTTTATTATCAATCAAATAGAATCGTGAAGCAAAGAGCGCGTAATTGACGGAATAAACGGAATAAAAACATGACATCGTGCAAATAGTAACCCCCGCAGCAAAAATACAACATGAACCTTATCTAATAACAGAGTACAATTGACATCATCCATTGGGTTTGTTAAAAACAACAAATGCAAATTCAGCTTTAGCTTTCCAGAAATATCCACTAATGTTTTTTGTAGTAGTCATTAATACTTGTAGACGGCTGCTCAAAGGGTTATTATTAAATGTTCTCCAATGTAATATGAAGTCACGGGTCACGGTTGGTTTTATCAGATAATGACGCTGCCGACATTTCTTTGTAAACATTTTAATTTTGCGCTTTAAAGCGATAGCCCTGTACCTTCGAAAACAGACACAGGATGTTGATGACAGAAATGAAATGAAATGGGGTTTAACGTCCTATTCTTCTGTGTCGACTGGGATAATGAAGACGGGCATACGTCATACAGTGTGCTTTGGGGGAAATTTAATTGTGCCCGGAAGGCGGCGCTATGGCCTACTCTTATATCGAATTCCAACTGCCAAGGGATCTTTTACGTGCACGCCAATGTGTACACGGGACCTAGAGTTTCCGTCCCATCCGAATGACTATAAGTTGTCCCTTGCTAGGTTCTTTGTCATGCACCACTGACAAGGGGGAACCACCCTGGAAAATCCCGATGAACTTTCTCCGCCAACGCCGTGATCAAAAACGGACCTCCAGATTAGCTAGCAAACGTCCTACTCACTGAGCCACCGTGACTCCCTCTTGAGGATAGTCTTCTTGTTATTTCTTGCTAACCAATAGTAAGTGCAGGCGGACTGCACCACACACAAACACTTACACAAGACAAACCTACGGACTTGACACAATATACAGATATACAGAAACGCTAACCATTTTCGTGAAATGTGTAAAGTAAAAAACCAAGTAAAATTAAATGGCTTATATAGTAGTCATAAACAGGAATCAAAACATTATAAACGTGTACATGGACCTTAAAATATAAGGTCCATGGCGTGTATTAATAATTTAGCACGAGGCTGATCTAAAGTTTTAATTAAACTTATTGACTAATTAAATAAATAATTTTTTTGCAGCCTATATGGGACCAAAGGGCAGTACAGCGGATGGTCTGGAGAAATGTTTTGGTGTGAACTACTTAGGTCATTTCTACCTGACGTGGTTGCTACAAGAAAAGCTAAGAAAGAGCGCACCTGCCCGTATTATCAATGTGACGTCAGATTCCTATGTTAAGGGTAAACTCGACTTTGATGATTTGGCAATGACGAAGAGTTATACCATCTTTGACGCCTATTGCAGAAGTAAACTGGCTATGGTCGTCTTCAACCAAGAATGTCACCGCCATTACAGCACCGGTGTTATTTTCAGCTATGCCGTACACCCAGGTAACAACAACTTCCACGTACTCAGTCTGATTAAAATACAGATCTATATTTCGTTTCGTTTTTTATACGCCCACATTTTCATGTGGACAGGTCACAATTTTTATCCGATTTCAATGAAACTTGAAATATAGGTTTATCACCCTAAGATCTCGGTTCCTTTCGATATTGGCATGTATCGGACTGTAACTTCATGGATTCTGGTCCCTGATTGTACGAAAAATCACGTTTTTAGCTTGTGAACACTGTAGAGGTCACAATTTTTATCCGATTTGGTTTAAACTTGAAATGTATGCGTATAACCCATAGATCTCGGTTCCTTTCTATATTTCTGCATATCGTAACGTAACTTCCTGAATAACGGCCCCTGATTGTACGAAAAATCGTGTTTTTAGCTTGTGGACCCTATAGAGGTCATAATTTTTATCCGATTTAAAAAAAACCGTTTTATTATATCACCGTTACACCCTAAGGACGACAGAGTTTGAATTTCGGGAAAATCGGCCCAAAACTGACAGACAAAATGGCCGTCCCTCGTTCTCAAATAGTGTAAAAATATGGTATATCAAGGCTGTGAACCCTATAGAGGTCACAATTTTTATCTGATTTTGTTGAAACTTGAAATGTAAGTTTATAACCAAAAGATCTCGGTTCCTTTCGATATTTGCGCATATCGAATTGTAATTTCCTGAATTATGGCCTTTGATTGTAGGAAAAATCACTTTCGTTTTAGCTTGTTCTCTATCCATCTCTCGAAAATGTGGGCGTATCCTGCCTGGCAGCCGCTGGTAATACTTTCGATGGCCTACACTACATGAAGATCTGACCCGTTGTAGTAAAATATTGCATCAGAGGTCATACGAGCGGCTTTTGGCCCTATGACCTACATCATCCAGTTCAATGGTTATATAACAACTCTTCCCGATCCTAATGTAGTAAAGACAAGTAAAACGAAATTTTGAACAATAAAAAATACGAAACGAAATAGGATCTGTTTTTTAAATCAGATTGAAGCTTTGAGAACATCTTCCGTTGATTTTTTGATTTTATATTCTTAAAGGAAAAAATTGGTGCCAGTCATTATCACATATGTGTTAGAGCTGGTTAAACACATTCCAAATATACTTTTACCCTATAGATCATTGCTACGATAGCTGAGTAATACAGGTTTCCCGTATCAGAAGTGACGAACGCCAAAGGAAAACACGAGTCACCGCTCTATATAACTGACTGAAGCGACGAGTGATAACAGATACACGGCCGAATTTCTGCTCACTAATAATTCCTTTGAAGACCAACAGTTGTTGTGTGAGACTGTGAGAGGATATCTGACAATTCATAAAAAGAATTGACTGCCACTAGATAAGAGAACACGAAAGAAAAACAGAAAAAGTCCGTGCATTACCATGTTTTTATAAGGTATAGAATGAATATAAACAAGGGAATGTACGGACTATTTCTATTTTTCTCGTGTTCTCTTATCTGATGACCTTCAACTACTTTATTGAATTGTGAGATAACCTCTTACAGTCCCATATAACAACTTTTGGTCATCGAAGGAATTATTAGTGAGTAGAAATTCGGCCGTGTATATGTTATCACTCGTCGCTTTAGTCAGTTATATAGAGCGGCGACTCGTGTTTTCCTTTGGCGTTCGTCACTTCCGATACGGGAAACCTGTATTACTCAGCTATCGTAGCAATGATCTATGGGGTAAAAGTATATTTGGAATGTGTTTAACCAGCTCTAACACATATGTGATAATGACTGGCACCAATATTGTCCTTTAATTAAATGTTAAATAATCAATTTGAGTAAATTTGTTTAGCGCAGATTAAATCTGACATTTTCGCAAAAATACAAAACACGTATACACACTTAAAAGATTAGCGGCTCCACGAATGACTGTGCATTGAATTCAACACAGGGGCGGTTCTAGGAATTTTGAAAAAGGGGGGGGGGGGCGCTGCAAAATGAAGGCATTGACCGCGGAGATGGGGCACGCCGCGGGGGGGGGGGACCCCAAGAAAATTATCCCACTTTTCCTTGCATCTGTAGCCATTCCAAGAGCTATTTCCCAGACTGGTGTGTTTGAGTCGATGGTTTGAGTCATTTGGGATCCCTACAACGGGCTGGGAACGGACATATTTGAGTCTGAGAAAAGGCACTTTCAGCAGTAAAAAAGGGCACTGTCGAAAATTAGGGGGGGGGGGGCGTCCGTCGCGCCCCCCATTGAATCCGCCTCTGCAACAATGGGGTATTCGTGTTGCGCAACTTATTTACTTAATTGGAATCTCCGATCTTGTAATTCTCCATCACAGGAAGGTCGTCTTAATCACCCCGGTTGGTGCTGACGAGTGGGTGATTAAAGCCCATTTAATTTCATTTTAATAAGAGGAGTGACGTCTTATTGGATGTACATACCTATAATTTGAAATCATTTGGATCCAGAACTTTTCGATATAGTGCATCAATTCTGCTGAATACAGTTCGAAAATATTCGACCATGTGATTCTGTGTCAGTTTTTAAATGCTAAGTGAAAACTTGGTTTTTAGTCACTATCATTAACATTCCAAAGTGAAAATATTTTCTAGCGCCTTGCGCGATACAAATATCATTATTATTATTATTATTATTATCATTTCGATTGGTGCAGACAAATAGACAATTAAAACCCATTTCATTTCCATTACAGGAGCAGTAAGCACCGATCTGTTGAGAAACTGGCCAGGACTGACAGGTAATATCCTCCGAGCAGCCTCCCGTGTTCTCTTCAAAAGTCCCGAACAAGGTTGTCAGACCATCGTCCACTGTGCTATTGCTGACAAGATTCGAGAACATTCCGGCAAATTGTTTGTAAACTGCCGACAAACCAAAGTGAAAGATTTCGTCAAAGACAAAGAGCTTGGCAAGAAGTTGTGGAACGTGAGTCTTCATCTCTGTGGATTAGATTCAGAGATTGTTGAAGACCCTGAACCCGATGTTGCCGCTGCAGGAGCAACTGAGATTCCCGAAGCTGCTAAAGCCGCCAAAGAAGCAGAGAGACCAGCTGCACCACAACCATCTAAACCTGCTTCACAGCCCCAACAAGCGCAACAGCCTTCTGCCTCCGCTCAATCTAACGAAAACCAGGAGTAAAATAGCTGCAATGATTTGATCTTGGAAAGCAGATCTTTTATGACAAAGCTGGTTGTTTAAAACCAAGCGTCCGGTAGTATTTTAGTACGGAAGTTGTTCATAGTACCATCAAATCAGATGAATTTGAACAGCGTAGCTACAAATGGCTTTAGGCAGCAATACAAATTTAGGTCGTGGCACCGGTATTCAATTTAGGACATCAATGTCGTAAATTGTAACCTTTGGCTAGACACTATGCTTTATTGGTTTCTGTAGGTTTAGGCAGCGATCGTTTGTAGTTATAGGCGTTTGGTTTTAGTTAGAGAAATTGGTTTTAGGTCGGACGACTGTCTCTTAGAGACTCGCTCTTTATGTAGGCCCGTCGCCATCTTCTTTAGGCAAACAAATAGGCCATCGTGTAGGAGCGTTTATTCCAGCTCTTTGAAAGTGGGCAGTTTCATGTATTGGAAAGTTGTCTGGGATATCGTCAAGTATGAATTTCAACATTAGTAACACTGTGATATTATTGATAAATAACGTTTATAATATTTTAAAAGTTTATAAACTTCTGTGAACTTTCTTTTTATCAATGCCCTATTTTTGAAAACAGGAAAATTTATGAGGAAAATATTGCAAGTACATTGAGTCAGTCCACTTTTTCTGTTCCTTATGCATAATTCGTGGCAATATTTCTCTTTTACGAAAAGTTTAAAATGAAAGGATAACCAAAGAAATGCATCTTGAAGATATTCATAATTATAAAAGAAATTTAATCTAACCCAATCATCTATTGGGCACAGTAGGCTTACCTATATTAATACTAGGATGATATAAAGGGAATTTTGTGTTGGAGATTAAAGGACACGAGAGGAATGAGTAAGTGCCTTAAGATAAAAATAATTAAATAAGTCCGTAGAGTGTGCCAATCAAAATTTGGTTAACTTTACCGTGGTATTTTCTAAATTAAAGATGCATTATGTAAGAGCTAAATCTGCCCATTGCAGGTTTTTCTTTTGGCCTCCCGATTCCCCGGTTGTACGTGACAAGGAGAAGGGTCGCCTGTCCAACCTCGTGGGTTTTCTCCGGGTCCACCGGTTTCCTCCCACTGCTAAAGATCCCTACGCGCAAGCAAATTATTGAAAAAAAAATTGAACCATATGTAAGTCCTGAAATGACCTAACGACAACCCTATAACCAACTCTCTTGAGCATCGGGTGGCTGAGATTTAAATGGATTTAAACATTCGCGAGATTTAGAAATTTAACGATAAAAGGACAATCGAGGCTAAGTCTGGTTGTCAAATACCATTGCTACGATAATGAACGATCCTCAAACAGTCGTAACTTCGTTCAAAATATAGTAATTTGAATGAAATTTTCAATATATTCATTTTTCATTATCTGTTTTTGAACTACTGTAGCAAGAACGGCCAGCTCTTTATCTAAATCTAACATAATGCATCTTTAATTGTTATTATATAACTCATAAAACTGTAAATATGATACGATAATATCTTGTTCTATCCAACCAGTTTATGCACTTTTCCACAACAATGTATGCACTTTTCCAAGAAAATTTATGCACCCTTGCAAAACCCGTGTTTCTATATTTTTTTTATTTCTTTGTCTTTTGTGCAATTTTTATACTAGCCATGGATTGTTTCCCATTTCTTATACTCTCAGGGGATGTTCGATTGTCAGTCAGGAACGTTCCGAATTGACGGAATTGCAATCGAATGACAAGGAATTCAGTCCGGTCACAGTTCTGTCAGTTCCGACAACTGATGTGGTGTGAGTAGAATCGTGACGTAATTAAACACAACTAACATGTTTCAGCTGTCATGGTTGGTTGAGATATTTTCTTATATATGCAGTCGGCGCATGCGTTCTAGCCCCAAATCCCCATTTTCACTCGATTTACACCATTTTTTTGGGTTTGCCAGAACGTTCAATCGAGCATCCCCCCTCAGTATCCACATTCGGAGTTCTTTTAGATTCTGACTTGGAAATAACGTTTTTAGGTCTACCTGAAAATCTCGCCGTCGCCAATGATAGAGTGATAGAAAAGAGGTTATATACCCTATCGGCCCCCACCCCCCAGTGAACTGCCTATCAGTTTTAACTTTATAGGCAAATCTTTGTCGGCACCAGAGGAATTGTGACTGTCATAAATTGAATTTGTGTCTGACATTGTCAGTGACCGGTGCCTTATTTCCAGGCTTAGACTTATTTCACCCGACTTTATAACACCTGTGTTACTGGGACTGGAACTTATTTCACCCGACTTTATAACACCGGTGATACTGGGACTTATTTCACTTGTGTTACTGGGACGTGAACTTATTTCACTAGACTCTAGTGTGTATATATACATATATTTAATGAGTTGTGTGCGTTTGATGTGTATTTTTGTAAAACAAAAAAAAAATATTATAATTAATTGTAGAGTATGAAGAGACTATGCAATTCTATTTGCCTTTGAGCCTTGAATGGAAGGTTAAAACCATGGGTAGTTACATATCATGTCTTCCAAATATTGTTTTCAATGATTTGTAACATTAATTCACAAAATAAAGATTTATCAAAAATTTCGTTTGATTTATTTCAAGTGGAATGTTATTAAATGGAAGGGGGTTTAACTTCTGAACACGATACTTTGGTCATTTTGAGACTAACACATGTTTTGTTTTGCTTGTAGCACGGTCCTCCTCCTGAACTTACAATTATGAAATGAAATGAGGTTTAACGTCGTCCTACTGTTCTGCTAATGAAGACTGGCATACACCATACAGTGTGCTACGAGAGGCACCTTGCCCGGACAGCAGCGCTTGGGTCAATTTTTATATCCAATTCCAACTCACAAAGTATCTTTAAGTGCATGTCAATGTGTTCATCGGATTCCATCCGGACGACTAGGCAGCTGTCCTTGTCGGGCCGCCCATCCTGCAGCACTGACAAGGGGAAACCGCGGACGAAAATCCCGATGAACCTTCTTTGCCAACATCGGAAGTTTAACGTCCACTCGACACAAGCCTACATGTAGGACATTGTAATCGAGAGGTCGGTACATTGGAAAAAGATAGGTTGCTAGGCAACGAAACATACGTCCACAGCAGCTAAATAGTCGAGGCTGTCGACAAGAGAATTTACTAGACACTGATATCAATTTCATACAGATCGAATTTTCACAAGGTTTAACAAAGTGAAACAAGGGTTTTAACTCTAGAAGTTATGAACGGAAATTGTTCAAAGTCAATACTTCTTCGTTTTACTAAACTACATGCAAGTAAAGCATTTAGATTTAATAGAGATTGGATGATAACTTTTGTCATTAGAGGGTTCACAGAGGGTTCAGCTAAGTGAAACAAGGGGCCATAACTCTAGAAGTAATTAATGGAAATTACTGAAATTCAAAAAGGCTTCTTCGTTTTACTAATTGAAATAATGCATATAAATTTCACACAGATCAGATGATTACTTTAATTGTTAGACCGTTCACAAGGACCACAACTGTAGAAGTAATGAACGAAAATTGTTGAAATTAATGTTGACAATATAAATTTCAAACTGATCAGATAATAAATGTGGTCTGTAGTCCGTGGATGATGCGACGGACCGACCAATGCGATGGCAATATACGACCACATTTTCATGTGGGCCTATAAAAATGAAATTGGGTTTAACTACTGGAATTGGAATGGACAAGAGAGAGAGAGAGAGAAATGGGGTTTAACGTCCACTCGACACAAAATAGGTCATTTCGGGACTAACATATGGTTTTATTTTATTTCAAAAATTCGGTTTAGCAGTGGGAGGAAAACGGATGACCCGGAGAAAACCCACAAGGTTTGACAGGCGACCTTACTTCTTGTCACTACAACCGGGGATTCGAAACCACACTAGTTGACTCAATGACAGGCCTTATGATACAGGACGCACGTGCTAAACATTCGGCCATCCAACCCGCCTGGAATGGACAAATAATTCATGTCCGTATGTCAGATAATATTGAGTAAGAGCTTTATACCCTTTAAACCACCACCACCACCTACTGCTAGCTCCATCCCAAAAGGATCTTATCAGTCACTTCTTTCATACAGTGGAGAGAGAGAGAGATAGAGAGGGGGAGAGAAATGGGTTTTAACGCCCACTCGACACAGACTAGGTCATTTCAGGACTAAGATATGGTTTAATTTTATTTCAATAATTGGCTTGCGTGTAGGGGTCTTTAGCACTGGGAGGAAACCAGAGGACCTGGAGAAAACCCACGAGGTTGGACAAGCGACCCTACTCCTTGTCACGTACAACCGGGGAATCGAAAACCACGCCAGTTGACTCAATGACAGGCCTTATGATTCGGCCATCCACCACCCCCCCTTTCATACAGTGAGCTACGATGACTCAGTGAGTATGACACCGGCTTGCAAGTCTGGAGGTCGTGGGTTCGCTCAATATGTAGGATGAAAAGTTTATCGGGATTTTCCAGCGTGGTTTCCCCACGTCCGTGATGCAGTGCTGAGGGACTGATAAGGACAGTTGCCTAGTCTTTCGGATGGGACAAAAAAAAAGAGGTCCAGTGTACATATTGGCATGCACGTAAAAGATCCCTTGGCAGTTGGAATTTGATATAAGAGTAGGTCAGCAGCGCGGCTGTCCGGGCAAAATTACTCTCATAGCACACTGTATGACGTATGCCAGTCTTCATTAGCGGTAGCCCAGTCAGAGAAGAACAGTAGGAGGTTAAACTCCATTTCATTTAATTTCATTTCTTTCATAAAAATAACAAAACCAAATGACATTTGTTGATGTGATTTATAACTCCGAATGAATGCATTAGTTTAATTTATTTACATATATTATTCAAACTGAACACACCTTAGAATTATACTTCATAAACCAATCTGAAACAATATTTAACAAGCAAAACAAGTCTAAAGTCCAGTAGAAGCTTTTTACACCAACGGTATATTTCTCGTTTTTTGTTTTTAAGAAAACTGCCACAAGATTTTTATTACTCATGAATTTCTTTTCACTCAAATTTTTTCACAATAACTCGAAGTTCCAACAGTAGCTATATATGAAGAGCCCCGGGGAAGAACAATCAAAGTTACTTTTTCAACGAACCCAAGTTAATGGCGCCATCTGGTAGCAAATTGTATAAGCTTTCTGTGGAACAATAATTTGAGGTAAAAACGATCAGAGTCACATCGAACTAAGGCCTCCCGGACAAATACGTCCATCGTACCCTTTTTATTTGACCTTTATTTGGCTGAAAAGTGGAAGTTAGTTGTTGTACTGGTAATTATGATTCGTATTAAACATCATTTTGAAGTTGTAATTAAATCCACTCTTTGTTCTGTTCGTGTCAAGCATTCTCGTCTAAAAGCCTGTTTTGCCTTTTATGCGAGAAGACAAAAATGTGACTTACATGTAGATCGTTCTTCCCCTGGACTCTTCATATGCATCAAGAGTATGTTTCTGTAAATTCTCACAACAGTGTTTAAAAGAAGAACGATAAAGATTTTTATATTTTTCTTAATTCCATTTAGTTCAATCTTTTCCTTCAGTGTTTTGTGATGCAGAATCAGAAACTAATATTCAATCACTCACCACAGAGTTTTAAAGAAGAACGATACAAGATTTTTTATATTTTTCTTAATTCCATTTAGTCTATTGTGATGCAGACCCATAAATTAATATCTAATCACTCAAATTTTTTCACAATTCACCAAAGACTGATTTCATTGCCAGGGTTCATCTTTTGTTTCAATTGTAAACTATAACACATGACACTGTAGCTATGGCAACACTCTTTGTTGATAATGGCACTTATTATTTTTTCAAACTGAATGACTTAAAAGTTAGGAAGATAGGTAACAGAAGTTTGGAATAATCAGATCTTCCTCATAACCTGTAATTATAAATAAAAGATATTATTATTATTATTATTATATAACATTCAATCTGATTAAAATACAGATCTATATTTCGTTTCATTTTTTTATACGGGACCTCGGTTTTTCGTTTCATCCGAAGGACTAGACAGCTGTCCTTGAACTGAGGGCCTGGCAAGGACAGCTGTCTAGTCCTTCGGATGAGACAAAAAACCGAGGTCCCGTGTATACATTGGAATGCACGTAAAAGATCCCTTGGCAGTTGGAATTCGATATAAGAGTAGGCGATAGTGCCGCTGCCCGGGCAAAATTTCCCTCATAGCACACTGTATGGCTTATGCCCGTCTTCATTAGCCCAGTATAGGAGCAGAACAGTAGGACGTTAAACCCCATTTCATTTCATTTCATTTCATACTTTCAATGGCCTACACTACATGATGATCTGACCAGTTGTAGTGGAAGTTCCCATTAGAGGTCATGTGAGTGGCTTTTGACCCTATGATGTCAGATTTTTGATTAAGCAATCAGCATTGATGTTTCTAGTAGGTTACCCACAGTTCCTGCACCTCATCCCAAAAACAACATTTATAAGAGAGAGAGAGAGAGAGAAAGAGAGAGAGAATGAAAGAGAGAGAGTTTAATTAGGTCAATTCAGGACTAAGGTACATGTTATGAGTCAATTTTATTTCACTAATTCGCTTGTGTGTAGAGGTCTTTAGGAGTGGGAGAAAACCGGAGCACCCAGAGATCAGGTTGGAAAGGCGACCCTACTCCTGGATACCTTCAAATCAGCAATCAAAAGACAGGCATTGTGATTTCACATGCAGTGTTTATACAATACACCACCCCCACAACATTTATAAAGCACATGTTCCGAGGCATTGTACAAGTTACAAATACGATATCAAACCAATATAATCAAATTCGTTACATAAATATTCACATTGTTAAAGATACCTTCCCATGTACAAATTGTGTGGTTTGATGATATATTTGGACTAAAACATATTCAAACTAATTAATCTATCAAAATTTTGCTTCAAATCTCTCTCTCAAAACATTGTTTTGCCAAGGAATACCTCTGCTATAAAAAATCTATTAAAAGAATTCATGTTACTTGGCTTACATGCTACCTAGCAACGTGTGCGAAGCCGGAGGAGATTTCATTGCATATACAGGACGATGTTGTTTTTAATCGCTGTCCATTTATGAAAAGTATCGAAGCCTAATTAAATTCTCAGATCTTTTTATCTCAGAAATTGTTGTATGTTTAACGCTCACTATCGCTGAGGAATAAGAAAATCTGTGTCTGCAACCTTTGACGTCACTCGAGCAGTCGTCGGATCCTTACATTTTTGTCCCGTATGCACTCCATGGGTATTTTTCGGGTAATCCAGTTTTTTCCTAGTATGATTGGATGTTTCTACTTTCCATATATACCAAAATTGCCATACTTTTATTGGACATAAACATAACCACCCAATAAATACTTTTGTGGGAAAGTAACTTTAATGTGACCCGTAACTGTAAAATGGACCAGAAGTTATTGAATATAGGTTAAAAATTTTACAAAAAAATTGTAGTTTGCTTTTTTTTGTGTGTCAAATCCAGACTTTTACCTTTATGTTATTCTGTCATAAAAATAAATGTTAGTAGCCAATTTTAACATTTGTTTAAAAATATCTGACAGATTTTGCTATATCCTGTCATAAATATCTAATATTAAAGACATATTCCCTACTTGGTTAACTGGGTTATTTATTATATACTCAAAACTTACATTTAAAGGTGCATTATGCAAGAGCTAAATTAATCTGATTTAAATACAGATCTTTATTCTATAACTACATGCAAATACAAGCAAATATCATTGAATACAGCCATTGAATAACCTATGGTTGTATTCAATGGCTTGTACACGTACTACTTTTCTCCAGAATGATGTCACCGTAACAGACCGTTTCATTGGCTAATCCCTCACACCGGTAATATAACAACTCTTCTAGATCCTAGTGTAGTGAAGACAAGTAAAACGAAATTTTGAACTATAAAAAACGAAACGAAATAGGATCTGTGTTTTAATCAGATTGTAGTTAAATCTATCTATTGCAGATCTTTCGTTTAGTCTCAAATGTTATATGAATCATTTGACAAGGACAACTGTCTAGTTGTTCGGATGGTACAAAAAACCGAGGTCCTGTGCACGCAAAAGATCCCTTGGCAGTTGGAAATTGATATAAGTGTAGGCTGTAGCGCCGTTGCTCGGTCAAAATTTCCCTCATAGCACACTGTATGGCGCATGCCTGTCTTCATTAGCCCAGTTTAGGTGCTGATCAGTAGGACGTTAATCCCCATTTCATTTCATTTCATTTTATATGAATCATTAATTAGATATTTATTCACATGCCAAACCAATAATCATGGCTCTTGACCATCGGATTCTTTTAATTTTCAATGGATTTAAACACGATTGCTAGAGAATTTGTTTATTACTGTAATAATGATAGTAATGACAGTGATGCAGGACGGAGGACCTGATAAGGACAGCTGTCTAGTCATTCGGAAGGGTAAAAAAGAACCCTTGGCAGTTGGAATTCGATCGAAAAGTAGTCCATAGTGCCGCTGCCCGGGCAAAATTCCCCCCACAGTACACTGTATGGCGTATGCCCATCTTCATTAGCCCAGTCGGAGCAGAACAGTAGGATGTAAACTCCATTTCATTTCATTTATCTAAATCTAACACAAGGTTGGACAGGCCCTACTCCTTGTCACGTACAAGGGAATCAAAACCACACCAGTTGACTCAATGACAGACCTCATATTTATCCAGACGTAAATATATCTAGCTATTTACCAGACATAAACATATCAAAGATTATCCAAGCATAATTATATCTAGCCATATACCTAAAAAATTATTTGACATTCTGGCTCATGACGTCAACTGGTAGACTATAGCCACTAAGAGACAAACACTGTCAAGATGGGACGCATTTTTTCTGTTACGTCTTTTTTGTAAATCATTTTATTCTTTTTTTTTTATTTTGAATGAAGCCTGTACCATTACAGGCCTGGAAATGTACAGCACAGGGGACGCTTACGGCTGGCCCCCAGATCCATTTACTTGATTTAATATTTGTTTATTTTTTGCAATGTCTATTATTGTCTTGTCTGCAAGTTTATCTTGTAGATTTCTGTTTTGCGTGCACTGCGGTCCTGCTGCACTTCCTTATAGAGCACAAGATTATCCAGACATAAATATACCTAGTCATTTACCTGCACAGAATACAAGATTATCCAGACATAAACATATCTAGCCATTAATTTATCTACACAAAGATTATTCAGACATAATTTTTAAAAAAAACCAAAACATGAATTACGCATTAAGTTATAAATGTCACGGATGCTTTACCAGACTGCAGGCTAGGTAAAGGGTTAGACATTAGGTCACGACAACCATAGCCGAAAGAGATAAACCTTATGTTGTAAACAAGAGCCTGGAGGCCTGTAGGGTAATTAAGAACAATATGTCAGTTTTATACTATGTGTATCCACAACTGACAAAATAAACACCAACAACTATCAACACCTATCACATAGATACAAAAGGGCTTTTTTAAAAATAATTTTATTATACTGTATGTCAAATTTCTTTTTCTAAGATATAAAAATATTTCAATTTTCAAATAAAGATCAACACCTATCACATAGATACAAAAGGGCTTTTTAAAAATAATTTTATTATATGTCAAATTTTTTTTTTCTAAGATATAAAAATATTTCAATTTTCAAATAAATATCAACAGCACATAGATACAAAAGTTGTTTTTTTTAAAAAATATGTCAAATTTGTTTTCTAAGCACAAGATCTTTTAAAATTAATTTTATTATGTGTCAAATTCTTTTTCTAAGATATAAAAATATTTAAATTTGGAGTCTTAAAGTTTTTTCTAAGATATATAAATATTTAAATTTGAAATCCAAGTATTTATAGAACTAATTTTATAATGTGTCAAATTGTTTTTCTAATAAATCATAACTTTAGAAAATATATCAAAAATAAAATAACTAGGGTGTAGTCTTAGTGTCCTACTTTCGGTTCAGCTTGGCTAATGAAAATATGTATACATGTACACCAAGGATAGGATGACCCGTGCACTCTACAGAAAGTTGGTCTCGACACGGCTAAATGTGCACGCTTGAGTTGCGTGTCTCGAACTGATTTCTGACTACCCCGCACTCTCTTTGAGTCGATAAATAGCCATGCACGTGCAATTCTCTACAAATATATCAACTATTACAGCCGTAAAAAATCTATTGTTGACGATTTTGAATAGCAGTAAAATTTAGCTTCTTGGTTATTACAGCGCTCAGCTTTAGAAATTACGTTTGTTTTATTTTTTAAATTGCTTTATCATTAACTGTACCGTTAAGAGCCGCATCTTTTGGTTTAGTACAAATAATATCTCTGAAACACTCGGGTTAGACAGGAACGTGATACTAGCAGTAGTTTCATTTTACTTTTACAAGTTTCTTAAAACAATTGTTGAGTTGTCTAAAGTGCTTATTTCTAAATTCAATTTCTTGTTCTAGCTTTCTGTTATGTTTCGTAAAAAAGTAGTCTTGATTATCCCGACCTGTCAATCAGACGTAGAATGATCGATAGACTGGTTAAGCGAGACTAATTTCAAAACAAGGGCACGTAACCTATCTTTTACTCAAAAGTGACTGGATGTTATGGACGACACTTGGAACCAGTTTTCAGTCTATTATTTCTACATGATTAATGGTCATAGCTTATTAAGTACAACATGATCGTTTATTTAGTGACTATAATTGTGTGAAACTGATTTGAGGCTTGGTATATATATAAATATTGTGGCGTAATTGTCAAGATATTTGGAGATATTTATTTATGGTGGGTCACCCTACCAAGGAGTGTGACTTGAACAAACTGCTGACTCAACTATCTGAATATTCATAGATTTAATTGTGAATCTTTCTAATTAACATATTTTCTTTCTTTGTTTATTTTTGGGTGAATGTCAGTTGATTTCATTAAACATTACATTATTCAAGAGCTAAATCTGCCTATTGTAGGTTTTTCTTTAGGCCTGAAATCTTATCTAAATTATTAATTAGACATTAATTAATTTATCCAGACCATAATTAACTCTCGATGGCATAGCTAGCCTGCGATGTTTATTGGATTAGTGCTGTTCGACTTCCATTCATAATTTAATTATTAAAAGGATAATCGAGACTATGTTTCATATCCTACCGACTTTAGTAATGATGATTGAGGCTAGGTGGAAAATTCAATCGCTAAAATCTCAGTTCATAGTGGATCAATTTGACTGAAATTTTTAGCAAATTCCCTTTACACTATCTAGTTTTTAACTATTATAGTGAGAACTACCAGCTCTTTATCTAATCTCCCATAATGTATCTTTAAATGATACATATGTTCTAAACGATTCAATATAACGATCATGTGAATAAATGTCTAAATAATAATTTTTAAAAATCTGTAATAGGCAGATTCAACTCTTACACGTCTAAAAGAATTTAAGGAAATTTAACGTCCTATAGGCTAATGAAGACTAGTGTACACCATGCAGTGTAAATGAAATGAATGAAATGAAATGGGGTTTAACGTCCTACTGTTTTGCTCGGAACTGGGCTAATGAAGACGGGCATACGCCATACAGTGTACTATGATAGAAATTTTGTCCGAAGAAAACCCATGAGGTTGAACAGGCAACCCTGCTCCTTGTCACATACAACCGGGTAATCGAATCCACGTCAGTTGACTCAATGGCAGGCCTTATTATCCAAAACGCACGGCCAGTGTATAAAGATTTAACTTACTTTTTAACAATCTGTACAACATCTTCATCTTGTAATGTATGTGTTTTACCAACTTTCTGAGGCTGATGTTTTACAGAAGATCCCCACACTAAAGCACTGTAAACATACAAATAGAAATTCATCAGGGGTGGATCATCCAGAGAGAAATGGGGTTTAACGTCCACTCGACACAAACTAGGTCATTTCGGGACTAACATATGGTTTAATTTTATTTCAATAATTCGCTTGCGTGTAGGGCTCTTTAGCAGTGGGAGGAAACCTGAGGACCCGGAGAAAACCCACGAGGTTGGACTGGCGACCCTACTCCTTGTCACGTACAACCGGGGATTCGAAACCACGCCAGTTGACTCAATGACAGGCCTTATGATACAGCACTCACATGCTAACTATTCGGCCATCCAACCCCCTTGGGTCTTGGGGGAGTTCATATGGTTAAATTTGTTTATTTCTATAAATCCATCGTGCTTAGGGGTGTTTAGCAGAGGAAAAAAACATAACTGACATGGAGAAAACCTGCGAGGTTGGACAGACGACCCATCTCAAACCGGGAATCGAAACCATGCCACCTGACTCAATGACAGACCTTATTATCCAAAGCGCACACGTTAACCATTCGACCACCCAACCCCATGAGACAATAGAGAGAGAGAGAGGGAAATGGGGTTTAATTATACTCGATACAAACTAGGTAATTTCGGGACTAACATATGGTTAAATTTTTTATTTCTATAAATCGCTTGTTCTTAGTCTTTAGCAGTGGGAAGAAACCTGAAGCACCAGGATAAAAGAGAGAGAGAGAAATGGGGTTTAACGTCCACTCGACACAAACTAGGTCATTTCGGGACTAACATATGGTTCAATAATTCGCAGTGGGAGGAAACTGGAGGATCAGAGAAAACCCACGAGGTTAGAAGGCGACCCTACTCCTTGTCACGTACAACTCGGAATCGAAACAACACCAGTTGACTCAATGACAGACTTTATGATACAGCAAACACATGCTAACCATTCAGCCATCCAACCCCCCTGCACCAGGATAAGACGACCCTACACAAGATGGGAATCGAAACCACACCACTTGACTCAATGACAGCCCTTATGATCATTTGACCACCCAACACCATAAGTCAATAAACAGAGAGAGAGAGAAAATGGGGTTTAACATCCGCTCAACACAAAAAAGGTCGTTTTGCACGTAAGGGTCTTTAGCAGTGGGAGGAAACCGGAGGACCCACAGAAAACCCACGAGGTTGGACAGATGTTCCATCTCCTTGTCATGTACAACAGGGGAATCGAAGTCAAGCCACTTGACTCAATGACAAATCTTATGATACGAAACCCTCACGTTAACCATTCGACAACCTAACCCCATGTGACAATAAACATACGATACTTACTATTTAAATTCTTTCATTATAGATCTATGTAGTTTATTAGCGAAATCTTCTATGGTGGTTTTTCCTCCTGTCAACACAACGGGTGCTGTGTAATCTGGTAATTGACCTTTAGGTTTCGTATATCTGATGATAAAAACGTAGGTTGTCAAGGTAACAAATCATAAACACACGGAAGTCATGTATAAAGATTTCCAAAAGAAAGTATACACTGTGCATTTCATGTTGCATCAACCAGTTGTTTTTCCATTGTATGCAGTATTTGGGTACAATATCAATTTGTTTTGCTTTTTTTTTACCCAGAAATGTTGAGTTTGGACGCAAGAGACATTTGCAGTATTGTTTTTTCAAATGTTTTAATTTAAACAAAAATTAGTCATACTTTTAGTGTGTATACTTGCTTTTGGACATCAGTATATAAAGATTGCCACCTTTTTATTCTTTACTTTTTTCGTCTCTTGAAAATAAACACTGCGCATAAATTTTTTACGCAACTGTGGACATCATATGGAAGCATTTACATGAGAATAATGAAGCAATCAAAATTTGATAAGACTTTAATATGTCAATGTGGGCATATAAAAAAGGTCCATATGTCAATGTGGGCATATAAAAGAAGGTCCACATGTCAATGCAAGTTTCTTTGAAAACCTACAGCAATATTGAAAGTGTTACATAGATTGTTATTTAATTATTTGACTCACGACTAAGTCTGATTATTCATTTTACCGTCAAATTTTTAAATCTCGCGGGTGTTCTACTCTTTTTAAATCTCGGCTATCCGATGTCCTAGAGATTTGATTATAGGCTTTTCATGTGAATAAATGTCTAAATAATAATTTATATAACCTTTGAAGCAAAAATAAAAACCTGGAATAGGAAAGTTATGCTCTTACATAATGCATCTTTAAGCACAGAGTGCACGCAATTAGTTAATTTAAGATCACTGTACTTACATTCTAACCAACATTAAATATTCCCACATTTTTTCTAACAAATCATCAAAGTTCCATTTATGATGCGCTGAGATAGGTACACAATGTGGTACTTTATATACTAGATCTAATTCCTGTTAAATATATAATAATAAACATCACACATATAACTAAACATTGACTGATTAGAGAGAGAAAGAGAGAGCGAGAAACTGATCATTAAGAGACAGGGAGATAGAGGGTGGGGGGAGCGGGAGGAAACCAGAGGACCCAGAGAAAACATCATGAGATTGGGGGAGGGGGGAAGAGAGAGATTTACTCTTAAATAGTTTCAATGGCAGTCAGTTACTGAGATTCCTACTAATCACCCACAAGAACTGAGCTAGACAAGGAGAGAGAGAGAGAGAGAGGTCATTTTGGGACTAACATGGTTCAATTTTATTTCAATAATTCGCTTGCACGTAGGGGTCTTTAGCAGTGGGAAGAAACCAGAGGACCCGGAAAAAACATAAGATTTGACAGGCGACCCTACTCCTTGTCACATACGAGCGGGGAATCGAAACCACACCACTTGACTCAATGACAACCTTATAATCTAACATGCACACGTTAAACCATTCAGCCAGGCAAGCACCCTGCTGATCATTTACATATCACACACCTCCTCCACCCATATCGGATCCTTTATTTCAGGAAATATTATAGAAGGGAAATAACTCTATTCAAATTCAATAGATTTTGCAAAATTTTGAAGACTAATTTAGCATAAAGAAATACTCTGGACTAAACAGCTGTCCTTGTCAGGCCCTCCATCCAGCACCACTAACAAGGGGAAATCACACTGGAAAATCCTGATGAACTTTCTAGGCCAATGCAGGGATCGAACATGTGACCTCTAGGCTAGCAAGCCACTGTCTTACCCACTAAGCCCCCAATAATTAACAACCTAGCCTGTATGATTTTTCTCTTCTCCTTCAAGATCTTGTTTTGTGGTTGATAAACTTTCTCCAATCTACAAAACAAACGACTAGACAGCTGTCCTTGTCAGGCTCTCTGTCATGCATCACAAACAAGGGGAAATCACACCGGAAAATCCTGATGAACTTTCTATGCTAATGCAGGGATTGAACACGCGACCTCCAGGCTACCGAGCCAGTGTCTTACCCAATTAGCCACCTTGGCTCCCAATAATGATTGAAATGGGGTTTCACGTCCTAATTGTTTGCAACAACTGTGCTAATGAAGACAGTATTTATGATATAACTCACCTCTATAGAAATTTGATCTATTTTATTAAGTATATAAATACAGGGAACATAGACTCGATTTCCTTCTATAACATCAATCAAATCTTCCGCTGTGGCGTCAATACGTAGCGTAATATCGGCATTATTTATCTTGTATTCATTGAGAATAGTCTTCACTAAATCTAAGTCTAATTCAGATTGTGCCACCTAAAACATAAAGATAAATGATTATGGGTTTTCCCCTTTCCATAAATGATTACAGGGTATGGGTTTTCCCATTTTCGTAAACGATTTTTTCTCCCTTTCAATAAAAGATTATGTTGTCCCTTACCATAAATAACTGTCAGTAAATAATGACCTTAATGAATGGACATGGTGTCTACTAGTCCAGTTAAACAAAATTAAGAGTTATTAATCCTAAAAACATTTCTTTGTCAGCAAATTTTAACAGGTTAGCTAAAAATCTTATATTCATCAAAAATTTAATTGCCACTTACCGTAGCTGTAAGATTGAGTCCACCCTTATCTTTACGTTTAAAAACAATATTAGGGGGTTGTTTATTTAAACGAATACCAAACCCCTCTAATTCTTTCTCTAACAGACGTTTATGTTGTAGAGGTTTTAAAACATCTAACACAATGTAAATTAAGCTACAAGTTCTTGCCACTAAAATATACAATAAATTAGATTTTATCACTTTTTTTATATTCAATATTAAGTGCAAGGGGATCGCACTACATGCAAAACAAAACTGACATGACCTGCGGATAAGACAAATACATCAAGTGAATGGATCTAGATGTAACAGAAATATTGCGATCGATCTTGACAGTGGTCGTCTCTTCAATGGTGAGAGTCTGCCAGTTAGAATGTCAAATAATTTTAACAATAAGGACGTTATCCGGATAGAGTAATAAAGTGTAGTGAGCAAACAGGAGCAAAGCCCAACAACGAGAACATTCTTCAGTATGAAGGGCTAAAACTCTACTCTAATACTAAGTGCAGGGGGACCTCACTACACGCAAAACAAAAACCAACATGACCTGCGAATAAGACAAACTACATAGTAGACATTTCTAAGGTATTTGTCATGCAGGTCTGAGTGACAAGCAAAAGGATGTCTAGTCGTTTGGATGGTATACATACAACAAAACCCAAACCCTTAACAGTCATGCTGAATGTTGCTGAATTTTCAATTCATTATGTACATGTATCTTTGTAAATATTGAATGAAACTAAACCAATATTTGACCGATATTCCTTTTTGAAATTCAACTTTCGCAATGGATTAATCCTTAAAGATACATTATATAAGATTTAGATAAAGAACTAGCCATTCTTGCTATGATAGTTCGAAAGTAGATGATGTAAAATGAATAATTTGAAAATTTCATTCCAATTACTCTATTGCAAGCGAAGATATTAGCCTTTGAAGGTTTGACAGACGCGTGCAATAAATTCAACCACCGTACTGGTTGATAGAAGCTAAGTCTCGGTCCTCCATATTTGATTAAATCAAAGTATCGCTGAACCATTCTAATCTATTTAATATCAGAGAAATCTGATGCCATCAAGAGTTGATCAAGGCCTGGATCAGTTAATTAATGTCTAATTAATACTTTAGAAAACATTTCAGCCTAAAGAAAGACCTGTAATAGGCAGATTTAGCTCTTGTATAATGCATGTTTAATATACATTTATTTGTATGGGGGACTGGGAGGGGGGAGGGGTGATCAGTGTGTTATTCATTTACACTTTGAAATGTCCCCTTTATAAAGCTAGTTAATAATTAGTTGCTTCATGGAGTAAAAAAAAATATAAAAATTACTGACCTGCAATCACCTGTTTACCACGACCTTTACCATCTTTAGCACCTTCAATAATACCAGGTAAATCTAACAACTATAAATAGATAAATACCAGGTAAATCTAACAATTATAAAAAATAGATAATACCAGGTAAATCTTGGGGCCAGGTCATTCATTTCATTCCATTCATTTACAAAACCCTGAAAATTTTTCACACCTGAATTCTTATTCCTTTTATTATTTACCTGAATTTTGGCTCCCTTATATCTGATAACACCTGGTACGGTTGTTAAAGTTGTAAATTCATACGCAGCAACTTCAGAATATACACCAGCTAAATTACTTAATAATGTCGATTTACCCACTGATGGAAAACCTAGAAAATAATAGAGTGATCAGAGATATCAATAATAAACTATTCACCAATCTTCACATACATGTACCTAGAAATATGAAAAGTAATTAAATTGATTTATTTTTGTAATGTCATGGTGTATGCACATCAATGTTCTTTATTGATCTGTAGAATTTCAGCATGTAAAAACAGAAGCAAAATAAACCTGTGTTCTCTATACCTCCAGAGAGAGAGAAATGGGGTTTAACGTCCACTTGACACAAACTAGGTCATTTCAGGACTAACAAATTCTAGCTGTCAAGAGATCTTTTACATGCACACCAATATTTATGTATACCGGACCATGGTTTTTTGTACCATCCGAAAGACTAGATAGCTGTATTTTCAGGCCTTCTATCTTGCACCACTGACAAGGGGAAAGCACGGATAATCCTGGTGAACTCTCTCAACCAACACCGGGATCTTGCCATTAATAACACATGGTCATAAAGTATTTGGATACTAACTTTAGCCACTGGGCTGTCCATAAGATTTTACAAAGTGGTCAAGGGCAATAAATCTGGCAGCAATCATTGTCTCATGACCTTCGATACTGAGTATGGTTCAATTTCATTTCAATAATTTGCTTGCTCCTAGGAGTCTTTAGAAGTGGGAGGATACTGGAGGACCTGGAAAAAGCCCACGAGTCTACAAACAGGAATCGAAACCACGCCAGTTAACTCAATGACAGACCTTATGATACAGCGCGCACACGCAAACCATTCGGCCATCCAACACTCTCAGGCAACTTGAAGTTCCTTTCCAGATAATCTTGTATTTTAAAGATTCTTACCCACAAATCCAATTCTAGCATCACCAGTCTTGGCAACATCAAAGCCTTCTCCTTTGTCTCCACCACCACCACCTTTAGGTTCAATCAATTCTCTTCTAAACTTGGCTAACTTGGCTTTTAACATACCAAGATGCCCACTAGTGGCCTTATTTCTTTGAGTTCGAGCCATCTGTAAAAAAAGAAAACGTTAGTCATTGTTTTAAACAAGCCAACAGTGAGGCTGATGTCCCCTGCCGAAATCCCCAAATAAATAAATGAGACATATTAATTAATCGCACATTTATTTTTTTCAAAAGCATCAAGCAATCAAACTGTACACTAAGTTTCATCACTCTCTACTAGATACATGTAGAATCAAGATAATCTTTCCCAAAGCATCGACCAATGAAATTGATTAGTTCTGCTTAGCTTCAGCTAGAAATATTAATCATTGAACTCAGTCAAGACATTCACTTAATGAACATCTACATCAAGTTTAACCATTCTACCACAATTAAAAGCAGAGTTGTTATGTTCCTAGGTCTTGACCAATCAAATTGCTTATTGCTCCTTAGCCTAAGCAGAAAATTCTCACCATCAAATTTAGTCATGGTAATGATATAATGAATCTATATTCCGAGTTTCATCGCTCTCACTTCATTATAAACAAAGTTATAATTGTCACTATCACTATTGACTTTTTTTGCGACGCGACATTGTGAACTTGTAATCTCTTTTCAATGTGTACGTAACTTGACATATGGTTGACGACATGTCTATGGTTGACGGCACAGTCATTTCAATCTTTCACTTCAACAGGAAGTAAGGAGCAAACTATCGCTATGAAAGCCAATATTTGAAATGCGTTTTATTGCTTCCAGCAAAATAGGGGGTCAGAATAGCTACGTATAGAAGGCTTACTGCCATGAACTTAAAGGGACTATCCCTTATTTGAACAGAGTCTCATAAATAAAAGTCTGAGTATGTATGACATTTAAACGCCAAACTATAGAGGAATGATGTATTGACCTTATCTCAAAATTTCAGCTTAGAATATTGAGTCGTTTGGACGTGACCGTCAAAATTGCTTATCCAGACACGTAACCCTTTGAAGATTTCGGATCAATTTTTTCGTTGGGAGACCTGATAATCGACCCCCGTTCATTGAGAGGTCTATACAGTGAATGACCCAAATGCTGTACTTGATAACGAAAGGTAAATTTCACCTACACATTATTTTTATACAAAAAATGTCTGGTTTTATCTAGACACCGCATAATACAGATTGGGACACCGGTCTCCATTTCCAAATGAAGAATGATGGGTTTCAGTTATTTGAAAACTTATCACAAATATTTGAATTAGTTGCTCGGCCCTTAGGTAGAGGATTTTAAGGGATTTTAAAACAAAATTAAAGTTTTATTCTCCAAAATATTATCGGGATTAGCCCTTTAAAGATTATGAACGGAATAAGAGGAAATATAAAAACCTACAGAGACTACGCACAGTAGCAGTGTGTAAATGTCGCGTGAAGCACGGAAATTGATGACGTAGTGTACAAACTACGAAATAGAATAATCTAATGATTCTCACGTCGGGAAAATTTATTTTCTGTGTGTAAATTACACAGCGTCTGGCGATATTTGCATTTATTTTTAAAAAAATGCGTGAAACGTGCAGATTTTTGAGTGACTGCAACCTCTGGGCTAACGTCTTTCATCCGGTCAGACTCGTGAGTATTTAGTCTGCCAAAAATTCAGTTGCAAGATTGCGTACAAGTAAACATGCTTGGAAAACAAAAAGCATGACACTCTACCCTGGCTTTAGCCATGACATGTCATATTGTGGGACGAAGTAGTTGATCACTGATGTTTTGAATGTGGCACAACATGCCATTGACATCGCCACAAAGTTTGTCATCCTTCTCTGTTAAAATGTTATACTTCAGTTACGAAAATGCCATGGTCTGTAAAATATATTTTATCTGACTAAGTCCAGAAAACATGATCTTGATTTCTCAATAAAACGCAATATTATCTCCCTTTCATTCCCATCCCTTGCTTTGCTTCAAGTTTTGGCATATTTCAGCTACTATTTGGCCTTTCTTCCAGACTTTCGGTACTTACCTCTGCCTCTATCTCGGCAATCTTTTGTAAAACGGTTGCCATGATTATTGTTTAATTTCTTGTATGAAATCTGTTTCGATAACTTATAAAATTTAGAAGATATTCAAATATATCTTCAGAAACAGACTGTTAAGACAGTCACTAGATCCCACGTGACAAAATGGAAGAAGTTGACCCGGAAGTGAAGCCAGATCATTTGTCACAGCCTTTTAATCAATTTAATGTGAATTAATTAAATGATTTTATGTTGTTGATGTTCTAAATATACAAAATCAAACAATCTGCAAAACCCTTTGATCTCTTCGACGCATAGTTCAACAAAACGCCGAAAAATTTTACGTTTTATATCGAATGCGCATGCGTATATCCGGGCTCTTATCTTTCTTCTCAAAATTGTCCAGCCATTCAAATTGTATGCTTTCGTTTATCGTTTGTAAAATGTTTATTCTCTAATTTCGTAGCTTCCTAAGTGTTTATCTAAAATATATAGTTATTGTTCATGTCCATAGTTTATCGTTTAAATCTTCCAAAGTAACTCGAGGCAATTTATAACCAAATTATATTTAGAAAGGTGAGTATCAAAAAATTGAGATGTGTGTGGCTCGTTTTGTTGTTGTGATTTGTGAATATTTGATGGTGAGCAAAAACATTCTAGTTGCAATTGCAAACGACAACAATTAACACACTGATCAAAAGATTTATGACTTAATCTTTAATGTCTTCAATCAATGTCATTTTAGGGTAGACCTATTCAGCTAATACTCTCCAAATACCACCTCATTATGATTAGAAATAGACAGAAATACTTCATTTATTTAAATGAGATAGATCAAATCTGCAAACAAAATTTAGCAGAAATTGTATGGTAAACTTGAATGTCTGTCTATAGTAGTAGACGTGTGTGTTTTTTTAAAACCATAACTGTCACCAAGACTTGCAAATATGAAAACAATCTTACTTTATAGATAAATCACCAAAATTATGACGACTAAAAAAAATTAAGAATATAGCATCTGCATAGGCTAATAAAAGGGCCTATATAGCCTATTACAGATCCCAAGACTAAGTTCCTAATGTGTGTAGCCTGCCTAGTCTAACTAACCCAAAGAGATTTACGCAAAATCTTAAATAAAAGGAACAATTACAAAACTACAGAATTTATGATACATAATGTGTATTTATAAAATGATATTGGGAGGCAGACAAGGCATTATGACCCAGTTGTCGGACAGTCAGAAATCTTAGTGTATCACACATATAATATATTTTGGAACAGGTGACTCCTTTTAGTAAAGGGAGATAACCGTGGCAGCAGGTATTGACTGTCATCTTTTCTGCGATATATTTATAACACGAAAGGAAGATTAGGCCTAAATTACAAACATTGTTGACAATTGTTAAAAAAGATAGTAGCAGCAGGCATTGACTGTCATCTTTCTGTACATATTTATAACATAAAAGGAAGATTAGGCCTAAATTGCAAACATTGACAATTGTTTGACTGACAAATAAAGTACCGGTACATTTGAAATCAAAAAGATTATCGCAGAATTTGAAATACATATCGTCCCTGTACATTTACGTGTAGAAGATAGGATAGTAAATGTTGTGTCGTCTCGATGAATGAATTTTTAGGTTGATATAAATTCTGGGTCAAGTAAATAGGCCTATATTATCTATATGATTGCAAGTCTGTCGATTCCATGTTATTCTTTTCTCTTTTTGTTTTCTCCAACTTTCTCTTGCAAAACTGAAAGTGAAGATTCCCAAAGTTGCAATGGTTGAAAAATTTCTGAATCACTTAGGCCTACTTACATGTACAGTACTTGGTCATTAAAACATAAAGGGACAATAACACTCTTGCTGGCTTGACAGCTCCAGAAAATAAAAAATAGCCTTATTCTAAGTACTAGATGTGTTAGTGTCCTACCTGTTGTGTAAATTATCCATTAAATCCTATTTTAATTGTCCAGAAGGTTCAAAAATATTTTTAAATCCAAGTCACATTTGATAAGCTTTACATCAGGCTTTTCAAATCATTTAGTTGAATTTTTCCAATTTTTTAAATTAGGTGTGTTAAGATGAAATTTGTATCATCAATTAATAGATATAAAGTTAAATAGTACAATTTGTTGACCAGAATAAAGATTGGGACATATTATTCAGTTACAACAAGAGTGGTATTGAGCCTTTAACTACATGTACTATGTACGTACTCCCTGGTTATTCACATTTGATAATAATCTTATGGGAATAATGATTTTTGTTGTACATGTACCGTACCTGACAAAATGTCTGGCACTATTGAAGATGTTTCTGACATATTTTTAATTTTGTGCATCATGTGGTTTACAAAGGTCAACAAAAAAACTGAAATTAGCCAATTTGGTTACAGTACAAACAGATCGTCAGTGAATATTTGCTAGGCCACTACAATCACTGAGAGAGATGACATTAGTGCGAGTTAAAGATACATTATGGGAGATTAGATAAAGACTACCTGGCAGTTCTCACTATAATAGTTAAATACTAGACAATGTAAAGGGAATTTGCTGAAAATTTCAGTCAAATTGATCCACTCTGAACCAAGAATTTAGAGATTGAATTTTTGGCTTAGCCTTGATCATCATTACTAAAGTCGGTTAGTTAAAAAACATAGTCTCGATTATCCATTTCATGATTAAAATATGAATGAAAGTTGAGCAGCAAATCGGTATGGTCTGGATAAGTTAATTAATGTCTAATTATTAATATAAATTTAGATAACATTTCAGGCCTAAAGAAAGACCTGCGATAAGCAGATTTAGCTCTTGCATAATGTATGTTTAATTACTGTAGCTAACAATATGAATTTTTTAACTGCTGCAAATTAAATTCGAAAACAACATTTCTTTGAACTATATCTGGATAAAAATAATTCCTGTTTAGTGTAAATGTTTAAAAGCTTACATAAAATACATTTTGTAGTACGTAAAATGAGTAAAAGGCACCATTCTGCCCGGACCAGTTTATGTTACCACATCCTACATTAATGTGTAAACAATGCACGCACTGTCGAGCCAATGATCAACGTCTTGTGATATGACATATGTAGAAGGCAGTTTTTAACCTATCAAGGTCAGCCTCCCTGAAACAGATTGACCTGGGTAGTAATGACAAGTCCTCACATTGTCAGTCCTCACATTGTACTTCCAGGCTTGGTGTAAAGTAGCTAAGCCTCTAACTCAATATCATCCAAAGTCTTCAACATTGAAAACACGAATTATTTGTCAATTTAAATCAACATTGATGTTGTGATCTTACCGGGAAAAGATGGGCTTCTGATATCCAATATTTAAGACAAAAAAACAAACAAAACATTTTTCCATTGGTACACGAATCATGTACCATAATACGTTTCAGTCCCATTTGTAACCAGAGACTCGAAGAACGAAGCTAGACCTATTCCACAAGTCATGTCAAAAGGTGACTTCATATTTTTATCTGGAGAGCATGCGCAATAAATACTATCGGTGTAGACTGGAATAACCAGACGCTAGAGTTTGCCATACGATTGAGACTTCTGGAGTATTTCGCCGAACATAACTGATTAGAAATTACAGTAAAAACAGAAACGATTGAATTTAAATCAGTTTATATACATTCATATTACACTATTATATGCGTTGCGACACATTTGTGTCAATTTCTAGGTCCCAAATATTAGCGATTTACCTCCTTTAAAATGTCTCAGCAGCACTGCTTGGATAACTGATGCAGGCCTTGAGATCTGAAAATCACACTAGAGTGATAAAATGTGTTTGCCATATATTTTGCGGAAGTTATTTAACACTGCCAAATTTCTATCTAAGACAATGCTTTTTTATATAACTAGTTTACATTAAATTTAAAGATGTATAAATTATTAATAAACACTGTTTATAGGCTAAATGTTCATAAATAAAAAGCATTAAAAAAAATACCATTTCATTAGATACATGTATCATGCTTGTGTATGTCCAATTATATTTCAATGAACAAGAACGTCTTTTTGACTGCGCCACAAATTTATTGTTTTGATTTATTAGAACGATGAGAAAAATGCAAATTACATTTACTATTTACATTACAAAGTTTTGAGGGTGTACAGTCTAGTAGTACATTGTACATGTGTAGGTATTCGACCGAACGTTGACACAGCGATACTGGGCTTCTGATGATGTTTTTCAATCACAAATTATGCCACGTAAAGTCAGTTTGTGTGCGTTTTGTTTTTTGTACTATCAGTATCAGGTTATATGAAATAATGAAAAAAACAAGCCTCTCTTTGTAGAAAAATAAAACTACATCGAATCCACTGCCTTACCTGTAAATTGCTAATTATGATTGGCTACTATTTTTGGAGTTAGAGGTTTTAATGGAGACAAAAGCATTAGATTTCTTCACTATATTTTGAATATCTTTTGGTTTTATATTCTTTAAATTGTCCCCCACCTTTCGAAGAAAGCAGGGGACTATTAAAATGGCTTCGTCCGTCTGTCTGTCCGTCCGTCCGTCTGTCTTTCCGTCACACTTTTTGGGACATAATAACTCTTTCTAATTGAGCTAGAATGTTCAAACTTGGTGTAGGTCACTGTAGGTGTTTTTTTTAGGTCAATGCCTTGATGTAGTTCGAAAATGAGCATTTTCTGCTTAGGGTAAGCAGAGATAAGCAATTTGATTGGTTGATGCATTGGGACACAATAACTTTAGTTCAAATTATGTGAGAGGTTTGACACTTGGTGCATAGTTTCATTAAATCAATAACTTGACTAAGTTGGATAATGAGCATCTTCTGCTCAGGGTAAGCAGAGGAATAAGCAATTTGATTGGTCGAGACTTTGGAACACAATAACGATCTCTCTAATTGAGGTAGAATGTTTAAACTTGGTGTAGGTGTTCATTAGGTGAATTCCTTGATGGAGTTCGATGATAAATATTGTCTGCTTACGGTAAGAAGAGATAAGGAATCTGATCGGTTGATGCTTTGGGGCACGATAACTTTAGTTTTAATTAAGTGAGAGTGATGAAATTCCTGAGTATAGATTCATTATATCATTACCTTGACTTAAGTTCGTTGATGAGAATTTTCTGTTTAGGCTAAGGAGCGATAAGCATTTTGATTGGTCAAGACTTTGGAGCGTAACAACATTTTTTTTTTTCATTGAGGTAGAATGGTTAAACTTGCTGTAGATGATCATTAGGTGAATGTCTTGACTGAGTTCAATGATTAACATTAGTGTTGAAAATCGGATCGAGATTTGTGATCCAAATACTTTTGTTGGCTGTCCGAATACTATTCGGATAATTCGGAGACGTGAAATTCTTGAACAAAATTACATCAAAAGTTCATATACCGGTACTCATAATTTCTTACTTGTTTCAATGTTTATGAGTGTCTGTGTATGCCGTGTATGAATTATATGAAATCGTACTTTCGATTTGCAAATTGTTTGAGCCGCGAAGAAAAAAACGTGCCTACCTTTAGCCGTAATTATTAAGACTATCTATGACATCGGTCTGACATCCCAAAAAATCAGTGAGGTGAAGGAA